TCACAAAGTGATTGTGAGGAATAGGACTTGAGTGGACAAAAAGCAGCAACTGTTTTATAGTAGCAGCTGTTTTATAGCAGCAACTGCAGATCTAAGAAATTCCAGATCTAGAGCACAATTCTGCAAAATGCCTGATTTTTCTAAAGGTGGTACAAACACATGATGTAGTGGTAACATACTTTATGTGTCAACATCTATTAATTGTTCCTAATGTTATGAGCAATTAGAATATCGTAATAGAAACAACAGTCTACTGCCTTAAAACTTTAGACTACAAAGCTTTATTTATTTCACAAAATGTATATACTACTCGATTGTAGAAAATGACCTCAAAGTGGTTTATACATTATACCATGTGTTTTTAGAAAAACAAATTCCTTTTGCAAATTATTCATAGTTAATGCTGGTTAATAGAGATAATTCTACTCCATTTTCCAGATGAGAATTGAGACAAAACACAATCATAGAATTGTAGAGTTGGAAGGGACCCCAAATGTCGTCTAGTCCACCCCCTAATAATAATAATAATAATAATAATAATAATAATAATAATAATAATTTATTTATTTATACCCCACCTATCTGGCTGGGTTTCCCCAGCCACTCTGGGCGGCTTCCAACAAATTATTAAAATACAACAGTGCGTCAAACATTAAAAGCTTCCCTAAACAGGGCTGCCTTCAGATGTCTTCTAAAAGTCTGGTAGTTTTTCTCTTTGACATCTGGTGGGAGGGCATTCCACAGGGCGGGTGCCACTACCGAGAAGGCCCTCTGCCTGGTTCCCTGTAACTTGGCTTCTCAAACCGCCAGAGGGCCCTCCGCACTGGACCTCAGTGTCCAGGCAGAATGATGGGGGTGGAGACGCTCCTTCATGTATACTGGACTAAGCCTGTTTAGGGCTTTAAAGGTCAGCACCAACACTTTGAGTTGTGCCTGGAAACGTACTGGGAGCCTGCAATGCAGAAATCCCGACTAAAGCATCCATAACAGATGGCCACTGCTCTGCTTCAAAACCTCCATGGTCCACCACCATCCGAGTGAATCCATTCCACCGTCAAACAGCTCCTACTTAGAAAATTTTTCCTGCTGTTTAGTCAGAATCTCCTTTCTTGTAATTTGAAGCTCGGTTGGTGACACGTGTTTTCAGCAGACCATTTTGAGGTTGGGATTTGAGACTGTCCCTATAGCAGCTCATCAGGACAGCCAACCACCGTTCAGCACTGCAGCTTCTGAAACAGTGAGGCAATCATGGAGCGGCTGCAGTGCAAAATAAAGTAGTGCTTGACTGAAGGCCCTCAGGCTTTGTAGTATTGTTATTTTCTTGAGAACAACTCCCATGCTTGTTCTTCTCACCATCACTGTGTTCAAGATACTCATGACTGGAACTGAGATAAGTTTCTAGATTGCTAGAACTGGGTTTCCACTTTCACTTTCAAATTTGCATGTTTAATGAAGGAAGGCAAAGGCTGAGCAAACTGCATGAAAATTTAAAAAATGTGTTTCTCTGTTTTTAATCCAATCACTATTTAGATAGAGCTATGCAAATGATCCCAATGGCTGCAGGGAACTGTAGTTTAGGGACCAGGGTAACTCTGTAAAATAGATACAATTTTAAGTGGTGTGTGTGAGGGAAGACAGATAATTACATACTTGGGAACTTTAGTCATATTTTTGCAGCCTAGTGTTTAATACAAAAGCATCTTTGCATGTGATAAGTAGGGGATATAAAGACTCTCAAAAACTCAATCAGTAGTGGGTGGAAGCTTCTGAGAGCACTCTTCCATTTGTTTACTTCTCTGTGCAAGTGCAGTTAATGATAAGTAAATTACCTCTGTGACACTACTGAGAAGTTTATCAAAAATTAAAACCAGGTGCAGATCAAAGATATCCCAGAAGTACATCTGATAATTACAGTAGGATTAGTGTAAAATGAATGCATTTATTACCCATGATATCATTCAATATGTCTAGAGAATAGCGGTACTTTATTTTAATTAGCTGTTTCTTTCACTGGGTTCTGTGGTCAAACTATCTTGATAAGAAAACAAGTGTAGCAATTGGTCAGAAAGCTTGTAGCAAATCTTGTTTCAAATTGAAGCAATTTATTTCTTTAAAAAATCTACAACTGAAAAGCAATCAATGGACTTTTCCATTAGAGTAGATCCAGGCTTGTGCTACCGCAAGACTATTGTTAATTGCCTGTAACTAATGATTGCTTTGCCCTCAAATGTAACTCTTCAGCACTCATTCATTTGTTGTGTTTAACAGAATGCCATTTCCCCAAGGAAATGCCTGGTAATTTTCCTCTGCAGTTTTCAGAGCTCTCTCAGTCCTTAAACAGGGCAAGGCCTGTAATTTAATGTCATAACACAAAGTCTAAACAGATATGAAATGGTGTGCACTTCTTGTTTCTTTCTTCCCTCCTTCCCCTTGAAGTGGGAAATTATTATTTTTTAAATATATTTATATATATATATCTCACTTCCAGGACTTTCAAATAAAGTATAATACTTGCAGCTGCTGCAGCCCTGTAACAATACAGTCGTATCTTGGATCCTGAACGCCCTGGAACTCGGATGTTTTGGCTCCCAAACGCTGCAAACCCAGAAGTGATTGTTCTGGTTTGCGAACGTTCGTTTGGAACCCAAATGTCCAACGGGGCTTCCGCGACTTCCGAGTGGCTACAGGACCTTCCTGCAGCCAATCAGAAGCCGTGGTTTGGTTTTTGAATGTTTTGGAAGTCGAATGGACTTCCAGAACGGCTTCTGTTTGACTTCCAAGGTATTACTGTAATGCAAAATGTAGCAGCCCTGTAACAATAAGGCAAAATGTAGCATAAGGCAAGAGTTCATTGACAATACAGTGGAACCTCAGGTTACATACGCTTCAGGTTACAGACTCCACTAACCCAGAAATAGTACCTCGGGTTAAGAACTTTGCTTCAGGATGAGAACAGAAATCGTGCTCCGGCGGCACGGCAGCAGCAGGAGGTCCCATTAGCTAAAGTGGTGCTTCAGGTTAAGAACAGTTTCAGGTTAAGAACGGACCTCCGGAACGAATTAAGTACTTAATCTGAGGTACCACTGTACTGGATATGTCAAGCTACTCTGGCTTACATTTTGTAAAGTCATGTGACCACAGCCTTCCAACTGTACTGATTTAATCAGGTAATTTCCAAATATTTTTGGGAGGTGAGAGTCACGGGACCGTTTTAGATTGGTCAAACAACAACAACAACAACAAACCAACAACAACAACAAACCAACAAGTGGATTTTGTGTTGGACACATGCCATGCCATGCTAGAAGTAATGTAGGAGCATGGGATGTTACATTGCTTCTGGAAAGAAAAGCATTTGGTGCAATTAGTTAGGTCAATAGAGGAAACTCTCATTTTCTCCAGATTGATTCTGGCTTGGCAAGCAATCTGTGAGAAGTGGAGGGATTGAGTGCAATCTAGAGTAAAATTAAGCAAATTTACATCCTGCTGATTTCAGTGGGACCTAAGTGTACTTTCATCAGAACTGAAGCAAATATGTGATGTGGGGTTTTTTATAGTTTTAACTGTTAAAAGTTCATGAAAGTGTTCTTCAAATGAGACGTCCTATGGTCCCATATGAGATGTCTTCTGTAGCATAAGCATTCAGTAACATACACAATAATTGTTTTTTTTAAAAAAAAACATGATTTTTTTCTGTTTGAGCTTGTAATAATTCTAGTCTAGTTTCTCTATACTAGTATTTTTCCCTTGCCTTAATGCATCATCATTACAGCAGGAATAAAAATGGTGTATTTTGCACCTAGCAACCTGGCACATTAAATCCCCATCTTCTGGTTACCACTGAACAGCTGCATCACATGTGGCAGAAAAAGATAAACAGCAATGTAGTAAGCCAGTGCTGTACAATTTCCATTTCCATTTATTTTCTAAGCCATTTTATTACTATTCTAATGAAACTGTTGTGGGTTTATTTATTTGAGGAAAACAAACATCTTTTCCCTATAGATAAGAAATATTCCAAATACGTGGAACCAACACTCCTGATCTTAAAACTGTAGAATATAAAGGAGGTTACATTACCATTCTTAAGAGAACGGTGTGTTAAATAAATCCTTTTTTTAAAAAAGCAAAAATAATATTTAATTACATTTTATTGTCTTCTAGAGAACACTGAGGCTTTTATAGCAGTTGCATGCATCTCAGTAATAAAAGCATAAACATACCTAGGCAGTGGAAAGAACTATTATTGCTTATGTTTCCCCCCCCCCTAGCTTTTGTATTTCTATAATTGAAATATATGATATTGAATTGTTATAGCAGCAAATACTAAACAAAAACCACGACAATATAGCACACGTGACAATGGGATAAAACTCCCTGTCAAAAATTTCCAAGGGGCAGTTGTGTCAGTTGGTTCTATCACAAACAACAAGGAGTCTTGTGACACCTTAAAGACTACCACATTTATAATATAATATGTTTTCATGGACTAGCGTACTCTTGATGATCCAGGCTCTTGAGTTTTATTTTGTTTTAAATCTAACTGATAAATAGTGAATAGTCATCATGCCATCACTGGGTATAATAGTAGGTACACATACCCTCTGATAATGGAACTCAGGCTCACTTCACTTATTCATGGTCACGCCATGAACTTCCAGGTCAGACCCTAGATATGTATAACAGAATGTTGCAGCCCAATATATTGTGGGTAAGTACTTAGCTTCACACTTGCCTTCCTCACAGGGTTGTGATGACGAAATATGGAGCATATCATGAAGGGCACCTTAAGCTCCTTGAGGGAGAGGCAGGATATAGATAAATATAATAGTTGTTGTTTTCTGCAAAAATCACTAATCTGTAGTGCATGCACAACACAGTCCTTTAATTCTGCATTCTCTTTTCCCTTTTCATCTGTCAAACAGTATTTTAAAGCTTTTTTTTATGTTGAGCAACAGCCATTTTTCTAGGTTGAATGATAGAAATATTACAAGCAATAATGTATTTCAATTTTTTTTTTTTTTTTTAGAATGACAGACTATTCTTCATCTCTAATTTCAATACAGCTTGTGAAACAATACAACAGCCTTATGACATTTAGCGATGTTTCTCTTCATTTTACCACCCCTCATTTCCTGTCTTAACAGCAGCAGGAATAATATTATGGTCACCCGTATGCAACTGCTTGGTAATTGTGAGGGCAATGGGCAATGATGACTTTAACACTTGCAGTTATTATCCGATAAGTGATATTACCAAGGAGATTACTGTTGACAGACAGTATGATTACATTTGTCTTGAGTTGTGTGGAATTTTTTTTTTTCATCCTTGAAAACTAACCTACATGACAGTGATCTCAATCCATCATGCAATCTCCAGTGGTACAACATAACACAAGAAAGTGGTCACGTTCCAGCTCTGAATGTCAGAAATGACAAATTGGGGTGATTTGCAACATCTAAGAGAGAGAGAGAAAAGGCAAACCTGTTTATGGAGAGTTGAGAAGGGAAGATGAATTACATATCAACAGGGAATGGTGTCAGAGATATTAAAACACAACCGATCCATGAGACACTGGAAGACATGAAATAATTTATCTTCACATATTTAAATTTTGGGGGGGGGGGAAGTATATATTTAGCTTCATCCTACATGACTGACAAAAACTCCTTGAGCAATGCAACCGCATATGTAAACAGTTGTGTGCATATCACACAACTGTTGTGTACAACAAAAAGATAACCATGGTTGTTGCCTTCTGTAAAAAATGGTGTTATAGCTGTGACAACAAACTAGTAAAACACATGCTCTTTTTACAGACAGAATATCTAAATATCATGTATTTTTGAAATGTTGACAGCATTTTCTGCCCCCACAACATGATAATAAATGGCTGCCTTTAGTTCAGAATGTGGTGGTTATTAAGTTTTATAATTCTTTGCAGAGCTGATGTATACAGTTGAGCTTGCTGGCGGGCTTGGTGCTATTCTGCTGCTACTTGTTTGTTTAGTGACTATCTACAAGTGCTACAAGATTGAGATTATGCTATTCTACAGGAATCATTTTGGTGCTGAAGAACTAGATGGAGGTAAGCAAGCAAGCCTCTCCATATACCCTTTTATATATATATATATAAAACCCCATGGAATTTTAATTTGAAACAAAGTTAAAATAAAGGCAACAAAAAGGAAGAACGCAGTCAAAGCACAAGATCACCAAAGAACAGCAAAAAGAAGACTCGCTGATTCCAATCCTTCGTATATAATAGGTAAGCCTATAAAACAGCTAGAGTAAAACATGCTAAAGGGAACAACTGAGGGAATCAGGATGTGTAAATGATGCAGACAAGTCATTGGGCCTCTCCAGACTGATGTTTTATTGCAGGTGTATTCTGCAACATATTATTGGCACACTAACAGTGCATTGGTGGTGCATTTATTATTAGTTGTTCTGTAATGTTTCCCCAATGCTACTATCACCTTATTGCTGTCCAGAATGGCTATGATGCAACAAAGGTGGGAGAAGAAGAAACCCCCCAGAAAATTTGCAGTTACAGAATTTCAGCAGAAAATTACAGGATATGCACTGACAAGAAATGAAGCAGTAAGACAATTCCAAAACTTTTGCAGGAACAAGTAGTCTTGAAAGCAAGATCACGTATGTCTACCTTGATAGAATCCTGAACACAAGTAATCAGGAATTCTCAATAGAAAGGATGTCTACAGGGGGCCATAGTCAGAAGAAAATATGCCTATGCATATGTAATTCAGCACTGTTGTTTGACCAGGAATCTGACCTTTTCCTGACCAGGAATATTTCTATATATGTCCTCTTGTTCAGTGGGGCTTGCATTCAACTATGAATGTTTCAAATTACAATATAAGTGCTATATTAAAATACGGGTGGGGTGGGGGGAGTTACTAAAATGTTACTATTCTACAACAATACCATTGCAGATCAGGTCAAGAAATTTAAGAAACACTTTAAACCACACATGTGTACTTCTGTCAGTGTCTCATAGGAGTGTGTCCTAAACAGATCCGTCTAAATCTAGATCAGTTTAATTCTACTTTCTGGGGATGACATTGTAACAGATCTTCAACCTAATTGTTGAACCAGCATTTATTTTCAGTGACCTAGAGAAGTCATTTTTTCAACACTTCCTGGTTAACAGAATCTAAAATTTATAGTATCCAGAGGGCTTGATAGAAGCACCTGGTGTTAAAACATTAGTTAGGAAATAGTGTAAATGTATTTTCTGCAATTGGTGTCTGCAGAAGAAATTTCTCATCGTGCTTTCAAAGTACATACGCTCTGACCAGTCCATTCTTTCAACATTATTAAGTACATAGTAATGATTTAGTCAACAAGAGATAACACACATGTAAATGGACAAAACATTGTACAATTATGCACTAGCCAGTAAGAATAAACAGTTCCCCCACTCTATAAACACTTGTGTATTGTTCCCCATAAGATGCTGAAGTTTAGCAACGGCATGTGAAGAAATGGGAGCGCTCCCAGTAATTCTGCATGCATGGGGATGGGATGGGGCAAGGAGGATGCAAGGGTTAAGGAAGCTGCAGGTTGGCAGTATTGCTGCCCCACTGGTGCATGTAAACCTATGGGACACTATTGGTACCAGACCAGAGCTTTCCCAACCTTGCCATGCATTGCCCTTACCACTGCTTCTGGAATGCTGCTCATGGACCGCTACTGTTGAGATGTGAATGATATTAGCTGCCCCACACCCAAGGTTAATCATGTACATATACTCTGCTGTTTACGATATGCAATTTCCAATTTTCTTGAAATACCCCACAAATATGTGGTATATTTCAAAACTGTAGTATTTCGGCTTATTAGAGATATACATCATAATATATAAATATGTGAAATAAAAATGGCAATGGTTAATATCTTTATGTGGATCCAAAGTGAAAACTACTACTACTGCTACTAATTATTGTCATTGTTGTTGTTTGGTTTTGTTATTTGACATTGGCTAAAATATGATTGAATTTCTTTTACCACAGAATTCAATTTAGCAGTGATTATTCCTGACAAACTGACAGTTATGATTAACCTTAGGTACTTAATAAAAATTAATATTCACCTGGAACAGTCAACCTTGTACTACAGGTTCATTCCCCTTATGGTTGTTAGGCTTGATTACTGACTTGTTTCAATTTATTAAGACTCTTGATAGAGGTGAACATTCATTTAATAGATCTAACAGTTTAGAAATTGAGGGAAATGGATTAGGGGGGGAAATCAATAAAGTACAAACAGCATCTAATCACACTTTATATCTCTTTGCTATAATTTTCACTCCAGCTACTGTCTAAATTATGCTGGTTTTGAAGGTATTAGCACTAGCAAAAATACACAATATGTCAGGCATTTGCTAAATTTAAGATATATGTAAGTTCTACTGTTCATGATTAACCTTGTACATGGGGGCTTAGTTGAATCTAATTCAAGTATGCAGAAAAAATGTTAATGTTGTAACAATTCTGTCAAACAAATTGTGGGTGGAAACACTCCTTTCATCTAAAGAACACTTTGAGGTCCTAGCAGAGAGCTCCAACTGGCAATGAAGGGGAGAAGGAATTATGCCTATGTCTTCCTTAATTCCAGAACCACCTTACATCACTCAAATTTTACCACCCAATGCCTGCCTCTTTCCTGTCTGATGCTCCAACCCTGAATCACTCTGACAAAGGCAGATTTAGGGCAGCATGACTACTTCCTCTGTACCAGGCATAGGCAAACTCGGCCCTCCAGATGTTTTGAGACCACAGTTCCCATCATCCCTGACCACTGATGGGAGTTGTAGTCCCAAAACATCTGGAGGGCCGAGTTTGCCTATGCCTGCTTTGTACAGAGTGCTCCTTCCCAAAGCCTAGTAAATACTTGTTTCGCGAAAGAGGTGCGAGGGCTCTGGCAAGGTCCTAGAGACCTCACATAAGCTTCCCAAAGCCTTTGGACAGCTCTCCGCAAGCCTTTGGGAGTCCGGCACGACTTCCCACCGGGCTCCCAAGGCTTGCGGACAGCAAGCTCCGCAAGCTCCAGGAGCGATGGCGAGGTTGCTCAACCTCGTCTTCGCTCCCGGACCCTTTCTGGGGGCTGGGGTTGGGGGAAGCTCGGGTTTCCCCCACCCCCAGCCCGGCAAGCTCCAGGAGCGATGGCGAGGTTGAACGCAACCTCGCCGTCACTCCTGGACCCGTTCTGGGGGCTGGGGTTGGGGGAAGCTCGGGCTTCCCCCGCCCCCAGTCCCGCAAGCTCCGGGAGCGATGGCGAGGTTGCTCAACATCGCCTTCACTCCCGGACCCCCAGTGTAGTCGTATTCAGGGAAGATTTTAATATCTGACATTTTATTATTATTTTATATTTTGCTGGAAGCAGCTCAGAGTGGGTAGAGTATAAACAATGTAATTAATAATAATAATCCATTGCCTCTGCTATCGTGACATTGGATCTCACTCTTCGTATTAAATGAAGCATTTCTGTCATGAAAAGAATCTAATACAAAACTATTAACATCACCAATAATTAAAGAAGAAGAATCTATTGACGTCTGTGGAAAAAAACCAATAAAGAAAAAAAATCCATGTTTGGAATAGTAACATTAGGTATAGATAAGATTATCTGGTCTATCCATAAAATCACTGCAATACAGCTTTTCCCTGCGTCAGCTGTTTTCAACACTTCAAAATGAATTTCATATGGACCAAAGTGCTACTGTTCTTGCTCAAGATGAAACCCCATTAGCAAATGCTCTGCCAGCTGGATCTATAACTATTACTATTACATATATAGGTTTCTTTTCTGCTGCTTTTATTATTTGAAATGCATTTTAAAACTGGATTTGCTCATTAACACTTTAACATTTCATGTTAAACCTAATAGGGGAGGGCTAAAAAAAAATCACATAATCATTACCAAAAATGTATTATGCCACCAATATTTATTGCACACATTTATTTATTTTGTTGATGCTAGTTACCGAGTTCATTTAATATATGCATTTCATCCTTCTGTGCCCATGCTGCAACGTCTCTGTTTTGTAGGTTTTTCAGGAATAGAAAAACCTCAGCTTCTGACTTATTCCAATGCTTTTCCTTTTAACCTGCGTTAATTTCCCATTAGATGATTTATTATTTTACAACTCCTTTGTTGTGCATAAAGAGATAAGTTTGTAAACACAGAATTTTCACCTCATTCATTTTGATTTCCTAAACATCACAAACGACTTGATTCTGTATTTCCATTAACTGACTGTCCTGAAACTTTACCAGAGTGCCCCACAGTTACCCTCTGTAGTTAATCTTATGAGAATTATCAACACAGATTATTACTCCACTAAGTAAAAAAGCAAAACGTTCAACTTTCTTGAATTTGAATAATCATAACACTGTTGTTGTTTTTGGTAAGCCTCATAGGTGCATATTGTTTCACGCTGGATGTGCAGAGTCAGATTGGTAGGTCATCTATCCCTGTATACCCTTTGTTGAGCGGCAGCAAGTCTCTAAGATATATAGCAGGCATAGGCAAACTTGGCCCTCCAGATGTTTTGGGACTACAACTCCCATCATCCCTGACCACTGGTCCTGTTAGCTAGGGATCCTGGGAGTTGCAGTCCCAAAACATCTGGAGGGCCGAGTATGCCTATGCCTCATCTATAGCTTATGTCCTTTCCCACCCTGCTATCTGGGATGCTTTGACTGAAGGTTCTTGGACTGAACCTAGGACCTTCTGCCTAGTCTTTTCTTGTCTTAGATTTAAATAATAGTTCCATGTTCATCTATACCAGTGTTTCCCAACCTTGTGCCTCCAGCTGTTTTTGAACTACAACTCCCATCATCCCTGACTAGCAAGACCAGTGGCAAGGGATGATGGGAATTGTAGTCCAAAAACAGCTGGATGCACAAGGTTGGGAAACACTGATCTATACAAACTCCTCAGTCTATGACACTGTGCTTTTGCTAGATTTTTGCCCACCTGGGCTTCTTAGAGGAAGGTGCAGTGTTTAAATCAAATAAATAAATAAATAAATAAATAAGCAAGCAAGCAAGCAAGCAAGCAGGATTTTCTTTTAATGGGATAGTTTGTAATAGATTATCTGTGCAGATATAGAAAGGTAGAAAATAAACAATTTTGCCATTGTTTATTCCCTATGCCTTAGAAAGATTCTGTAGGTAAATTTTGACTTGGACATATAAATATCGGAACAGAAGATGCATTTAATACCTCGTTACTTAAATGGTTGCAGAACACTAAAGCTTACAGAAATGTTTAACTTTTTCCTAACCGGTTGACTTATTCTTTCTTAATGTCTACTTTATTAAAAATTTCAACTCATAACAGAGAAAAACAAAAGTTTGACTCTCAAACTCAGACTGACTTCTAAGAATTTGTGGCAATGCACAGAGAGATTTTTGTTCTAAGTGTTGAAGAGTGTAATTTGTTTTGCATATAAGCTGATCAACTAATAAGTATTTCTGAAGTTTTTAGAGTAAAACTAAGCAAACGTCTATCATTAATAATAGATCATTCAGTTTGGGTCCAACTAATTAAATAGCATTGCATTTGGTGTCTATATCAATTTCAGAGCTGAGCTGACAACTGAAAGTCAGCAAAAGAATAAACGATACAGGTCTTTTGTTATTGTACTTGAAAATGATGGTGTGTTGGGCTTCTTGTGCTTAATTTGTTGCTTATTTTATGTCACCCTATTATATTGCAGGGTCTAATGTAACATCAAACTATTTGTATAATTCATTTTTAATAAGTGTGTATTAAAAACATCACAGAAATGCTGGAATTTAATAATTTATGTGATTGAGACTTCTAAACATTAAGGCATAATGAATTCATAAGAAGACAGCAAGCGATAAAGTCTGCTCTGTTCCCTAGTGCACTTAATATATGTTTCTGCCACTCCCACATGGCAGCCAATGGAAATCTTCAATTAAAAGTACATTTAGCCTGCAATCTTATACACACTTATTGGGGAATAAGATATAGTGAGGTTAATTACTTCTGAGTAAACATGCATAGATTGTGCTGTTAGAATTGTACTGAGAAGCCTTAGTAGGCAACTAACAGTGCAATCGAATGCATGTCTACTAAAAAGTAAGCCAGGAAGACTTGAAGGGATCTCTTCCCAGTTAAGAGTGTATTAAGCTCCTGGAATTCCTGGAATCTTGCGCCACTTGGAGATTGGGGTGGCACACTACAATACTGACAGCATTTGGAATAAATACCTATTAAAGCAAGACAGAGATTTCAGAAATCAGTTTCTTATCTTTAATCTCCTTGCCAGTTCAGGAGGCTTGGTAAATGTTTTCAGCATTCCAGCTTCTATATGCTCAATAGCAGGTGCTGTTTATCTTCCTACGCATAGAAGGAGAGAGGGTAGTATGTTTATCACTAAAGCATGTTCCTCTGACAAAAAGCAAATCTTTCAAATGGCATAATCTATACTTAGAGCCAAAGTGCAAGCAACAAATCAATCACATCTTCATTTGCAAGATACATTGATAGAAGATTTTAGCTGTGCTTCTTTACATGCTTTTGAAAATTAATTGAAGTTCTATTCAAAGAGGAGGCATAAGCTGACAATGTATCTAAGACTTTGCTAGAGCTTAACTCTCTGTCTGTTTGATCTTTAGCCTGCAAAAAGTCAGAAATCAGCCATGTGCTCTCATCAAAAAACCTAGAGTCAGAGTAAGGCAAAGCATTCCACTACATTTTAAAAAAATATATGCTTGGCCTACGAGAAGTCCAGGTTGGAAATATATTTATGGAGTTGCTCATTGTACAGCAGAGCTTCTAAATTGCACATTATGAACTTGGATTGAGTCCACATTTCAGTAAGTAATCTAAAATTCCAGAAAACAGACATAGGTCAATAATTGCAAAACTTTCTTGTGGCTCTACTGCTTTTTGGTACTATTGAAAATTATCCAAAAGACAATTCCTTTTATTTGCCATCCATTGTGATTTGGATTCAGCTATCATTAGCAGGATGTAGGTGCAACCATAGTATCTGATTCAGGTTGGTGGTTCACCTATTGTAAAATTGACAAATGACTAGGCAATCCTTGAAAATATCTATACCAACACTTGCCTTTCTCAATTTTTTGTTTTTTGTTATTCATTTTTTCAATTACTTTTTTTATTACCGTATTTTTCGCCCTATAGGACGCACTTTTTCCCCTCCAAAAATGAAGGGTAAATGTGTGTGCGTCCTATGGGGCGAATGCAGGCTTTCACTGAAGCCTGGAGAGCGAGAGGGGTCGGTGCGCACCGACCCCTCTCGCTCTCCAGGCTTCAGGAGAGCCCCAGAAGGTCGGGGGACAGAGGGAGGCGGAATGCCACCACCCCGCTGTCTCCCGAAGTGGTTTGGAGGCTGACGGCGGGGAGACCCCGCCATCAGCCCCGCAAGCTGTGGGGAGGCACAGCGCGTCTTCCTGCTGTCCCCGGACCTGATCTGAAGGCGGGCGGCGGGGAGAAGAGCGCTTCTCCCCGCTGCCTGCCCCGCAAGCTCCAGGGACAGCTGGGAGGTGCAGCGCGTCTCCCCACAAGCTCCGGGGACAGCGGGGAGACACAGCGCGTCTCCCCGCTGTCCCCGGACCTGATCTCAAGGTGGGCGGCGGGGAGAAGAGCGCTTCTCCCTGCTGCCTGCTCCGCAAGCTCCGGGGACAGCTGGGAGGCGCAGCGCGTCTTCCCGCTGTCCCCGGACCTGGTCTGAAGGCGGGCTGCGGGGAGGAGAGCGCTTCTCCCCGCTGCCTGCCCCGCAAGCTCCGAGGACAGCTGGGAGGCGCAGCACGTCTTCCCGCTGTCCCCGGACCTGGTCTGAAGGCGGGCTGCGGGGAGAAGAGCGCTTCTCCCCGCTGCCGGCCCCACAAGCGCCTGGGGGGGGAAATAATTTTTTTTCTTTATTTCCCCCCAAAAAAACTTGATGCGTCCTATGGGCCGGTGCGTCCTATGGGGCGAAAAATACGGTAATTGACATCCATACACAATCTTAGGTACATGTACAGCCTTAAATAATTATACCATTAAATATTGATTTAAACTTGTATTTGTACATGCTATTTTCTTATAATTTTAACTAAACAAAATAAACCAAAATAAAAATTCAATAAACTAAATTATATGAAAACAGACTTCCCGTCATTTCCCGATGTAAGTTACATTTACGACATTGAATGTACTTATACTTCTTACCTTACTCTTACTATAGTTTCTAGTACTTTCTTATAACATATTGTACCGTTTTGCCTTGCTGAGTAGTATTTAATTTACACAAGGGTCATTCAAACGCTGCCATAGATGTTATGTCATTGTTATATTTTTGTAGGTATTTCTTAAACATATCCACTTGCCTTTCTCTGTGAATTGTTCATTGCACTGGAGCTAATGTGTATATTCCATCTTCTTCTTATAGCAGTGAAATAACAATCAGTAGATATTTGCTAGATTAAGTGCTAGATAACAAGAGCTTTAGTGGCAATTCTAAATGAGAGTCACAGTTTGATAATCCTCAAGCCTGATCGGTATCTATGATAGTGACTGCAGAATTCAACTCATGAATCAGTTTTCCTTCAGCTCAGCTTCGCCTACATTCTCATTTTCAGTAACCTGTATATGAAATAGATGGTTCCAGAATAATGGAACATTTATGTAGCCACTTAATTCACCCATGTTCCCTAGTAGCATGGAATTGCATCACAGAGAAGCAGATTTCAATATGCAAGTGAAGATGGCCCATGTCAACTCAGTGCACCATTGCTCATATTAAACTTGCATTAATGACCACATATTTTCATTGAAATATATCTTTCTTCCTTATCCCATCTAAAGAAAACTAGATAATATCATTCACTAGTAAAAAAAATTCCTACTGTTGTAATATAAAATTATTACGTACGAAACAGTCTCTGTATCTTCTGACTTTCTTTTCAGGAGCCCATCAGTGAGTGTGTTTTCACGGTATCAGAATTCTCCGAGTCTTGAAGAACTAGTTGATAGCAGACATATTTCAGGAACAGAAAGAGAGGAGGAGGGGACAGTGATAGGGGGCTTTCCATCAGTTTCAATAGGAACATTTTTATTTCTATTACCTTTCACAGCCAGAATATTATCCAGATAGCAGCTCCTGATTGAGCACAGGTTTGTGATTAGGGCCTTGCTATGTTCTCAGCTGTACTCAAAGTTCTTGCCAGTGTTGAATGGGCAGTTGAGTTCTCTTACCAATATCTGTAATTAAACAGGGAGGGAAACTATAAATGGCTACTTCCACTGCAGAAGACAGTATGCCTCTGAATCCGAGTTGCAAAGCTCTGCATAATGACATTCCATTAACATGTGGTTTGCTACTGTGAGAACAAAATGGTAGACTAGATGGGCCCCTGGCCTGATCCAGCAGGATTCTTATCTTCTTAGAACTAAACACATGACGGGTAACTGTGATTATAGCTCCTGGCTTCCTCATGTATCCTGCCCACCCTGTCCCCAACACTCACGTATTTGCAATGGGGACATCTACATGTGGGATTTTTAATTGTTTGGGAACTTATGCAAGTGCATCCCAAATGAGTAGGTTTCCCCTTTGCAGCTTTCTGCAGTTAAGATGTGAATATTGTGGGGGCAGGGAAGGGCAGCAAGACATGTAATGTCAGAGGCAAGAGACCTTTTCACTTTACTCCACATACAGAGATCATATCTGCAAAGGGTCTGTGCTTTGTCTTGCATATAGCCAGACATCAGCACTGCCTTAAGGTTGGCATACTGTTGTTTTTACAGCTGTGTCTGAAAGGTAAAAAGGAGTAAAGTGAAAAAAATGTTAGCAAATAGCTGAATTCAGCATTGAATCACTAGCATTACATATGGTACAGAGTAGGATATTCAATCAGACCTTTTTACAAGCAATTGATATTCTCTATAGCCTGTGCATAATGCTGTCTAGAGAGTTAGATGGATGTTAACATTTCATTACTCCTGCCATTGATTTCTCCCTACTTTCTTCACAACAAACATCAAAATGTGACCTCTTATTCCACTGAATTAGTTCCAGAGCACTTGGCATTATTGACCCCTTAATGAAAATTAATGGTGGTTTCTTTCATTCAATCTTATAAGTAAGCAAACAGAATGCATATATTGAAAAGAGTACATTTATTTCCCATTGGAAAAGAAATGATATTATGTTCAAAACAAAAGCTCACCTTAATGCAATGAACTGGGTTCATTGAAACAGAAATAAAAAGGATGGCTTTCATTGCAGTCTCCATTATCTTTTTACATATACATACTTACATCCACCAGATTTGTTTTCAAATGAATGTTAGAAGTGGGGTGGGGTGGGGAGGGCTGATCTGTTACTTCTCAAACAAATTCTTCTCGCTCACATTATTTGCAAAACTTTGCATTTATAATTTCAGTTTTTCCAACAATCCCAATTATGCATGTTTTATTATAGTTCTTAAAATGGGCAAGTTGAGCACAGAATTTCAGTTTAATTTATTAGCAAAGGGATGATCTAGTCTCATTCCCCTCCCCCTATTCGCTGTATTACTTGAGTTCCCTGCCACCATCCCTGTTCCTACTGACAGTAGTCACACACGAAGGTATTTGTTCTTGTGGGAGAAAGGCATACACATATGCTGTATGCAAGAGAGATGTGAAATCAGGACCATACCGGCTAAAAAGAACTCCTTCTGAAAGCAAATTTCAAAAGTTTATATTTGAATCCTGAAATCCTAATGAAGATACTAATTTTGAATCCGACAATGATTGGAACAGTAGAGCATATAATACTGAAACAATTTTTTTTCAAAATGTGTTCTCGAAATCCAGAAATCTGCCTCTTTTTTCTGCTTATAGCATGCTAGAGAACAAATCAATACTGTACGTGATTACTTTTGAACTTTCACTATGTGCACATCCGTCCTCCTAAGTTTTCAGTAACTGAAAACATGAGCCGTGATCCCGTGATGGGCCTGTACTTTTTGTCACACAACTGTGTACACACCATACATGTTAGGAATATTGAAAGCACACAACTTCCTCCAAAGGAACTCACAGATACAATTCCCAGCACCTTTAACAGACTACAGCTCCAGAAGCCATGTACTTTAAACCTATGGTGTGTAAACAAGCCGAAAGTTCAGGTGACAGCTTCCAGCTTGAAATGGACAGGGTGATTTCAGGGAGTGGTAACATTTTAAACTAGTGGAAATTTAAAAAACAATTGGGAACCCTGAGGGATCAGCTTTTAAATAGAAAATTCTGCTTAAATGCAGATGGTTGTTTCTCATGATATAAATGAGTGAAGCTCTTCCTTCTATCCTCTAAAATTTCCAAGTTTGTCCAAAGGGGCATTTGTCCCTATTGTTAAAGACACCCCTCCAATAAGGTGATTCTCTTTCTCACAAACAAATATTCTGCTTCTCAAACATAAAAATCCTAACACCAAGAAAAAGGAAGAGAATATACTTGGCTAGACATAGAATGAAGCAAAAATAGCCAGACAGTGAAGTACGGAAGCAGGGAGAAGGAGGCAAAATTGGTAACAGGGCAGAAGATTTCAGATCAGGCTATGTCTCTTGGTAAAAGGGGAAATATCAAGTCTGTCTTCTATCTTTCTTCTGTCCCTATTCCCCTTCCTTTTAAAACTGCAGATAACAAAGATTATGATGCATACCTGTCATACACCAAAGTGGATCCTGACCAGTGGAATCAGGAAACGGGGGAAGAAGAAAGATTTGCTCTTGAGATCCTACCAGATATGCTTGAAAAGCATTATGGGTACAAATTGTTCATTCCTGATAGAGATTTGATTCCAACTGGAAGTAAGTTTCAATTCTGTGTGTGCATGCATACGTGTTTGTTTGTATACCAGTACCTTTACATATGTGTGTGTTTATTTTTTAAGATATATATTTAATGCAGTATTGTTTCAATGCTGTCTCATAAAAAACTGTGGTAAAGTTTAGCAGTAATACTACCAGTTGCAAATATTAGATTCAATGTATTCTCTTTAGCTAAAACAAAGAAGAAAATGAATGTCCATTACACACTGAGAAATCACGCAGATCCAATACCTGTGATCCAGGAACTTGATATGTAAAATGTATCTAAAAATTGAGGATACAAAATAAAATTATTCAGTTACAACATATTGTGAAAAATATCACTTAACAATAAGACCAGGCTGAAAGTTGTCTGTAAACTGTTCAGAAGTGCCCTGAAAATGCCTCTCAGGTCACCTTTTTTCAATGCACCTGTTTCACAGTGCTTCTCCTCGCAGCTGTGATCTTCACCATTATCACCACCACCTCAAAGCCCCCCAAAACGAGGGCTGGAAATATCTTCCTCACCCTGGCTTCAGATGATATAGTATTATTCCTAATAAAATCAAGAGTAAGAACAACATTCCTGTTTTGACTCTAAGAGACTTCTTGTCAAACAAAATGGTGCCTATGAGCCACCAGAACATCACTAGTAATTTCTGGTGGATTTTTACCCTCTACCCTAAATACCACTGAAATGCTTTCAACTTTGCCTTCTGCAAATGGGACAATGGAGGGGGTTCAACTCAACCAAAAATTTTAGAACATCTGGCACTCAGTCCAATCCTGCCATGAATGCAGTGACCATGAACAGAGGAATCCCCATGGTGTGTAACAGTGCCCAGTTTTACACACACACACAAAATATAGCAGGCTAACATGACACTTGCCTCATTAGTCCATTATTGGAAATAGGAAGGGCTTTTTTTCTTGTTGACCTTTTTTTAGGGCGGATCACCCACCGTTGCCAGGGAGTTCCGGCTGAATAAAACCCTGAGAATAGGGAATTTATGCATGCCTCTGATATCTTTGTCTAATTCATCTCCTGATTCAAATAAGGTGAATTACAATCCTTGGAAGAGTAATGAGGTGTACATACTCCTTCCATTGTACCTTAACTACTTGACACAGTTCCTGCATGGAGAGAAACAGTGGGGCAAAACAAGGCTTCATTATGCCCTGCCTGTACAAGAACAACCTCTGAATTAATATGCAGACAACACATAACTTTGTGGAATTCCTCAATGACACAATATTATGTCTCTAAATAACGGGAGATTGAATTGTTTTGAACTGTGAAAAAGTAGGTTCAGTTTGCAAGGAAATTTAAGAACTCAGCTTTTACAACAACAACTACTGCAGAAATGTTCTATTGGGTTGAATTTTTGAATCAGCCTTAAACATAGTTTATGTGGGAAAACAGGAATTTTGTCTTACTGTGAATTTCTATTTGCAGATTAGGCTGGAGGACATTCCTCTGATAGGGATGGCACCTCCCACTGGATGTGACAGGCAGGTCTTCTGCCTTCTCTTTAGGGGCAGGAGTCATCCCACTCACCAGACCAACTGAGAGAGAGCAAAGATGACCCCCTCATCCTATGATAGTCACTGATGCCCACAAGAGACCTGAAACAAAACCTTCAACAGGCATACTGACCATCCTCAAACAGGATAACACATTGAAGTAACAAGTTCCTGGTCCCAAGGAAAGAGGGTAATAGAAAGCTCTAACATATCTGGGTGAGCACAGATGCCCTAAGCCTACTACACCCACCAAACAGTGCAGAAGAAGGAGAGGCGGGCAGAATACCCTCCATCCTAATCGGAAATTCATGGCATTTCAAGTTAGCATGTTCTGGCAGATCAGGATGGAGGACATTTCTTGGAAAGGGATATAGTAGAGAAATAAACATACGTAGGGAAGGCTTCCCCTGCGCCACTGTAACACATCACCACTTTCTGCAGGGCCTTCCTATCAAATGCCACATCAGCAGAACAGAACACATCTACCTTTGAGTGTCTAGTGAAGGTGTGAGAAGCCCATATGGCCACCTTAAAAATGTCAACCATTGGAAAACCACAATGACATGCAGCTGAATGGGTGCATAGGACTTCACAATCATCCACGAGGTCTGGGTAACCACTTCTATCTTCTTCAAGGGGGTTGTTCCACGACAGATCATCACAAATATAAAGAGGAAGGGGGACGAAAAACAATGAATGATGAAGAAAACTAATGCCTCACAGCAGGAATCAAAAGGAGAACAGGGAACAGAGGAAACACACTCAGCCAACACAAATAGAGGCAAAGGGTTTAAAAAAGTTGGAAAAGTCAGAAGACTTTATACAGACCACCTCCTTCACATCCTACAGATAGGGTTAGTCTGGTGAGTGGGATGGCTCCTACTGACGCCCGTGCAGAGAAGGGGACAGCCAGATACACTTGCCCAGGGCTTTGGAATGCTAAGCTAGCTGGGGGGCCCTGCCAGGGACTGGCTGCTTTTTTATTTGAGTTCATAACTTTATTCTAATAAGGCTCCTGTCCCAGCCCTCAGACAAGCTCTGCATGGGCCTGGGCATGCTCCTACCTCTGAAGAGGAGGCAGAAAATTTGGTTGGACCTTGCCTGTCACATCTAGTGGGAGGTGTCAACCCTATCCATGTCCTCCATGCTGATTTGGCAGATTACCACCCCTTGTCTCCCACCATCCAATGCTCTGTTGGATTGCTACCAAAAATCCATGAGCTCTATTCCTTCTCCAGGGAACAGGAAAGGAGCCACATTATTAAACATAATGGAATACATTATTCCCTTGCAGAAAGCCTCCATGGCACTGACCTGCATTGTGGAGGATGGGGCCAAGTCTTTGTCTTTCTCATTTATAAGAACTATCCAAACTTGGACGTCCCAGTTATAGACTGGACTTTATCCTTTTCAGCCTTACTAGGAACAAGATATCTCCACAAACTTGTTATTAGAACTTCTTCTCTTTTTAAAGAAAGGAGTCCGGTTCTAAGTGAAACAATTTAAAGCTATGTTAGTATTTGAGTTGAATGCGCAGCAGAAAATGAACTGAATACAGAAACCCAGTTCGAGGAGCACACTTTACCCTGGACACAATTACACTGAGACTCTAGGTTTAGGAAAGTAAGAAAGCTAGCATTTATTATTGGAAATGCATTTTTAAAGGAAATATTCTAATTCTTTTCTTCCCCTGTAAGTCTTTCTAAAAGTAAAATAATAAATAATAATAATAATAGTTTTATCTAGCTAAGGTGGAGATGCACTGAGCCATACTAGCACTTGCATCTCAACTGAAGGAAGCGCCCTGTATGTCTGCTCTCATGAGGGAGGCACAGAGAAAAGAAAGGTGAGTAGGAGGTGTGGTCAGCAACCCTAATATCATCAGTCTAACATTTAAGGAAGATCAACAGCTCAGCACTAGAACACCCTAGGAAGTATGAAGGTTCCTCTCTCTTTCCACCCTTTCTCATGCAGATACATCAGCCTACCGTACAAGCTAAGTTGCACTCTGCAACAGGGGTATTCCTTTATTGGTTCCTAGAATGAAGAATGGGAACTTACCTGGGGAAAATTCTTATTTACCACACATGCCAGACCAAATGGTTATTTGTAAATCTGCACTGAATGTTTGCATAATGCATAAATAAAAAGGACTTTGTTTTTAAGCAATCTGAAGCTCCGGTATAATTTTTGCCTGACCTTGAGCCTCTCTTGCTTTACAGCATACATAGAAGACGTGGCCAGATGTGTAGACCAAAGCAAGCGACTGATCATTGTCATGACTCCAAACTACGTGGTAAGAAGAGGCTGGAGTATCTTTGAACTGGAAACAAGGCTTCGGAACATGCTAGTTACAGGAGAAATTAAAGTGATACTGATTGAGTGCAGTGAACTTCGGGGAATCATGAACTACCAGGAGGTTGAGGCCCTGAAACATACCATCAAACTCCTAACTGTTATTAAATGGCACGGACCAAAATGCAACAAGTTGAATTCCAAATTCTGGAAACGTTTACAGTACGAAATGCCTTTTAAGAGGATAGAACCCATCACACACGAGCAGGTTTTAGATGTCAGTGAGCAGGGCCCCTTTGGGGAACTGCAGACGGTCTCAGCAATTTCCATGGCTGCTGCTACCTCCACGGCTCTTGCCACGGCCCATCCTGATCTGCGCTCCACCTTTCATAACACGTATCATTCCCAGATGCGCCAGAAACACTATTATCGAAGCTATGAATACGACGTACCTCCTACTGGCACCCTGCCTCTTACCTCAATAGGTAACCAGCATACCTACTGCAACATCCCTATGACACTTATTAATGGGCAGAGGCCACAGACAAAAACTAACAGGGAGCAGAATCCCGACGAGGCTCACACAAACAGTGCGATACTGCCACTCCTACCACGGGAAACCAGTATATCAAGTGTCATTTGGTGACACAAATGCAAGGGGGAACTCGCCCCCCTTGTGTAGAAGCTAAGTCTGCAGTCTGGTGCCTGGAACTACATCCTCGACTGCTGCTGTTAAACATGCATTACAATCTATGAAATATGAGGAAAAACAGGGTCTTGTACATATGTTTTTGCAAATTTCTTTGTAGCATCAGTCTTCCTGTTTTACCCATGTCTCCTGCCATTCACATTTTGACTTTGTTTTATATGTCATTGGGATTTGTATATTTGCATTTTTTAAAAAAAGAGAAAAAATGAAGAGACTGCTGTATAGATAGGAAAACCTTTTTGCTTCATTAGTATAGTTTGAGTGTTATTTTTTAAAACATTTATTGGGAATGCTTGGACAGTTATGTTGAATCCAGAAGCACTATCCATTTGTTGGCCCGCCTAGCCTGATTCCCAGCGGCCATGCTTGCAGCAATTCACCAGTGTGTGTGTGTGTGCGTGTGCGTGGGGGGAGGGGGACATTTGTTCTTAGGAGGACCCCACTAACGACTCATAGCCCCATCTTCATTCATTATCCCACTGCTACACTTTACCCCCTTACCCTTGCCTTTTTTACAGCACCACACAGAGTGAAATTACAGGTGGTCTAAATGTCTTAACATTTCACATAGTTAATAGTTGTGGAACAAAACAAAACAAAATAAAAATACACAACCCAGTCTGTATCACTTGGTTCACAATAACCACTATGGAGTATGTAGAAAGAAAAATAGGGTGTTATGCTTTATTTTATGAGTTGGTTGCATTCCTTTTATATAAAGATAATAACATGCCGACTCTAATTCATTCAGTTCCTGAGAAAGTGTTGGATGTGTTTGTGACTCCCTCCCCCACTCCGTTTTTGGTTGGGACCAGTGGATCTCTTTCTTGCTTTAAATTCTTCAAATGAGATTATTTACATTCATCAGGCAAGTATGGCAATAGGCACTGAAGTGCACTAAACCCCGCAGAGATTTACGGTGATGGCTTCCAAACCAAAGGAAAGCAGAAGGACAATATCTAATATGGTTTGTCACATTGTATTACAAAAAAGTTGTCTTTTAAGAAGTATGAGAAAATTCTTTTGCAGCCGATTTGGAGTCCCCGTGTATATTAAAGTTTGGTCATTGCCTTTTCTTTTTGCTGATACATCCAGAATTTAGAATTCTTTATTATTCATTCTTATCTTTTTTTAAAGAAGAAGAAGAAGCTTGTAGTAATAATTTAGAAGGTTTTTTTTTTTAATTCAAGGTTGTTTAAAGAAGATCTCAGGAGGTTGCAAAAGTAAATACCAACAAACATCAATATTTTATAAAAGAGTAATATTTAAATCAGACCCAGAAATGTTGGAAACAATTAATGTTATTGAATAAAATAAACTAGTTTTATTTTAAATGTATGACTTCATCTTTAAAAAGTTAAAGAAGGATCATGGAACATGGCTCTGGGAAACATTCTCTGCATAAACCTCAGGACTGATTTTTTTTGCCCACACAGAATTCAAGGAGAGTTTGTCATAGACATTAATGGAGCCAATTAACTCCTCATTCACTGAATGTTAACACAGTCAGCATTAATCTCCATATTTACACATACTGATGCAATAGTCACATTTCACATAAGAACCATGAGAGGGAGGAACAGTAGGATTGCTTTTCATATGGCACTAGCTTTTTGGGAGCACACTTCTAATGCTGATTAACTTACATCAGAACAGAATGTGACCTTTTTGTTTGTCTTGCACTCAAAATGCAACAATTTAACTGCTGGAAATGACGATTTAAAACTACTGAATTCACCGCAGATGGAGGGAGTTTCCTAAAGAGCTGACCAGTAACGGCTGCTATAATAGATACTGTGTGTTTTGTTTGACTGCCAAGTTATAGTTTGGTTTGGATAAGATGCAATGTGGTGAAACAATCTGTAACCTGCATTCTAGAGGTGCTTGTGGGCTTCAACCTGTACACTGGAAATATCCAGTCTCATGTTGTAACTGGAAAGGAAGCATCTGCAAGTCATATTCAAGAGCCTTTAGGATGTATATAGACATTTATTTGCCTAACAATATTCATTTCTGTGACAGTTAACTCAGGTCCTTTTCTAATAATGTTATTTTGTTAGTATGTGCTCCCCACCACCACCACCAAAATTAAAGCCTGGGCATGTGCCAAATAAACCACATCAAGCAAATAAAGCTGCCAGGACCAACAAAGTAGCTTTGCACATTTTGTTCTTTGAAAATGTAAGATGGCTATTATAGACACCTGCCAAGTACTGATGGAATTTAATGGCCTTTAATGAGATTGCAAATCTCAGACCTTTTCCCCTCCACTCTCCAAATTCCCAACAAAAGGTAAATCAGTGCAATGGCCTTTTCTTTTATATTTTTGAAGCTTAGATCTGAGTTGTGAAGTAACTGTAAAGCATTGCAGTATGACCACAGCTACGCTGTAGGTGTTAGCAGGTTTGGTTTCTCTTTTTTTAAGGTTTTTTTTTTGTTCAAGTCTCACCAGGAATACTTTTCTTCTTCTATTTTTAATGTAGATTTAAGCACTTTGAATAGCATGATTCAGGGATTAATGGGTACTATTTGATATTCACACTACTTAAAGAAAAGATTTTCTTATAATGCTTTGTCATATTATTAAATAAAATCAAACAAATGAGAAAAGGAAGAGTATGTGAGATAAAGGCTCCAAATGGCTGGAGACCGCCATATTTGGCTTTAGAAACATTCCGCCCAAGTATTCCTCTTCTATAAACAGCTGTGCGAGAAACAGTAAAGGAACTGTCATATGTTCACGTACTCAATGTTTGACTAAAATTCTGTTAGAACACAAAATAAAAAGGAAAAAAAGTATTTGCCCTAGTTCCTGGGCTCTATCCTTTGTTTTTTACTGGGGAAGGAGGAGGTGGGAGAGAGGCATTCTGTGAAAGTTTGCATGCAAAGCCATGTTAAAGGCTTATCTATAAAAGCACAGCACTGTTTGGGGAAAAAAGTCCACAACCCAATGCAGAGCTAAGTGTGCTTACTTCTGTATCCACAAATCTGTTTTCGATTGTGGTCAAACTCAACAGCACAATCACTGGGCAAAGGTTACATCTTTGGCTCAAAATCCACAGCTAATATGGGGTCATATGGATTATGTCAGTAATTGTCTGTTAAACCTCCCTGACCATCCTTAACATGGAGCTACTATTCTCTGAAACAAGTGGCCATTCACCATCTGCTTTGATTTTTCTCACCCCAAAGGGTCCAAGGTAAGTAGTAGGTGTACTGCTAAACGCCTTTTCATACCACCATTTTTAAGAAAATGTCACCATAAGGAGATAATTATGGAAGCACTTATACACAATGAGTTGGATCTACAGTGACTTCCGTAAATAAAATATAGCCCTTCCATTCATGGAAGCCATTAACCTCTTGAGGAGGCTCTGCAGAAGAGTAAAGTGTCTTCTTCTTTTTTAACTTATTCTCCCATCCTCCCATCCCCTGCAGTACTTTTCACGTTTCTCTAGGTCTCACAATCCCTCAAAACGGATAAGGGACACTGCAAGGGGAGGGAAGAGCTAGTTAAGATTGCCTCCTCTCAGCTTCCTCCAGCAAGAGGAGAATTCTGCTGAATGTGAACCTGGATCCAATGTCCAGAAAAGTAAGGAACTCACTAAATTAATGGAAATTCTTCCACCTTAAAGATAGTTATGTGAATAACCATTGTACCACTAATGCTGAAGACCCATAGAATTCTAACAGTACTTTTGCAGATGTATACATCTATTCTTAGTATCCAGCCAACAGAACCAAGCAGAGAACCCTGGATACTAGATAGATAACTGGACCATATACGCTCTTATTCCTGTTACATTCTTTTCTTATTTCTTTAATATTATGCATTAAATTCATTCATGTTTAGACCTAAGATATACATTGGTACCTCAGTTTAAGAACAGTCCGGGCTTAAGAACAATTTGGTTTACAAATTCCACAAAACCAGAAATAGTGTCTTGGTTTTAGAACTTTACCTTGGTCTAAGAATGGAATCCGAAGGGTGGAAGGGCACCGGCAGTGGGAGGCCTCATTAGGAAAAGTGCACCTCAGTTTAAGAACAGTTTTGGTTTAAGAACGGACTTCCAGAACGGATTAAGTTCGTAAACCTAGGTACCACTGTATTGGGAGAATGGACCTGATAAAGTCTTCGTTTCCCTTCTTTCTTTCTTTTATTTTAAGAGAAGCTGTATCCAGGTTTTAAAAGCATGATTGAAAATATGTGATGATATAGGCATTTTGGAATGGAAGAAGCATCTGACTCCTAGAAATATATAGCTAAGTTAAGCCATGGACCTCTACTGGAATGGAAGAGCACATCAACTTGGTAGGAGATGTGGCCTACAAGTGTACCAGCAGTGTTTGTAAATATTACTCCGCATTTTAGCAGAGCTGCCTCTTTGTATACTTGCTGCTGCTGACCAGAGATGCTGTGGGATGAACCACATTTGTTAATTCCGTCAGTCACCATGAAATACAACCCTTTCCTTGCAGATCCAGTACACCATTTAGAGCAACTGCTTCAACTCTCATCCAAATCTCACTTACTGCTTATTGTAACACATTTCTACTCACTTTGGAACTCTTAGAGCAGGAATTAAATGAACATAGACAGTTTTGCAACACACAGTCTCTGCCTTCATAACACATTTCAATATCTTTAGCAGTTTGCTTGTAAAAAGCACTTGTTTCGCAGGAGAGCAAAGGAAAATACCCGTCACATATCATTTTGGTAGCATGAAGGGATTTGTCTGTCAAAATTTAGAATGTTGTTATTCTTTTGAAGTGCTGAGCCAGGCTATAGCCGCTGGAGATATTTTAGCTGCTTCACCATTCTCTCCCATCTTGCTATTCCAGAAACTTTGGAGAGAAAGACTAATATAAATCATTTGGTCCACTGTGGTTTTTTGTCATTCATTGTTTTAATATGATCCTTAAATTGGTCTCCCTCACAGTTTATATGGGGGGATAAAGCAAGAGATGACAGCTGCCCATAGCATTCAGGTTGACAAAATGTACCTTGGAAAAACCATAAAGGTAAGGTCATGCAAATGGGCAAGAATCACTAAAAATAATCTTTGTTGTTGATCAGCTGCAATTGTGTAAACAGTTATCATGAAGTAAGTCAAACTCAAATCTTCATTATGGCCACAGGCCAGCATAAGGTAAAAGCACCTACGTACAAAAGTAGAGCATGTTAAATAGGCAATAGAGCAACTATAGAAGTAAGAGGTACGCAAATACTCATTCTCTCAATTACAATAAACCAGGATGAGATCGAAACTTATAAGGCACATAAATCAAGCAGAATACAAAATGTTTAGATTTAAACCTTCAGTTTTAGACCTGTTGTCATAAAGTAAGATTTGTATTTCAACAGCAGCAATGAACTTTAAACAATTCATATACCACAACTACCGCAGGTTTTAAACCCATAAGAAACAAATGACAAAATGACATTTCACCTAAGCTATGGGATGTAAATTTTGTAATCCAGAGGACTCATTCAGATTCAAAAGCAGTTTCTCACATGTCATGCACTTATGGAAGTTATTGGGGAAGGTCAAGGAAGGCTGCTTTGGTTCTTCTATCAAGGGTAGCTAACCTCCAGATATTCGTAAATGACAACTCTCATCATCCCTGACTATTGGCCATGCTGCCTGGAGCTCCCATGGTAGTGGGAGTCTAAATAGGAGGGCCATTGGTTAACCACAGCTGCTTTAAAATTTGGATAGCTTTGGAAACTTGAAAAAGAATAAACAATACTTTTCTCATTCAAAGATTTATTAGCTTCTAAAAGGCACTGCACCAATCCACAGAACTGAGAGAGAAGCAGAAGAATTGGTACACACCACTGTTGCCTCATTCTTACAGTGTGGATTAAAGTCTCAACCAAGTCTCAACCACTCTTCCAAATTGTCAACTAATTTTGTGAGAGACTTGTGAAGGAAATATCCACTTATGTATGGGGGGGTTGGGGGGGGACATCAAACTGCACCTGAACACCTCCTTTCCCCTGTCCTGGTCCATAGCTAACTGCCGGTGGGCACCGTCACTGGTTTTACGGTTCTTTCAATAAACAAACAAAGACCCACTCTGCTACTGAAGGAGTAACAAAGCAGCACACCTGTCTTTCCTTCCACTATAAATCTGTTCCTCGTGGCAAAATGACACTATTTGGTGCAGTTTGCCTGGACGAAGGTATTCCAGAGCATCTGTCACTACATTGCTCCTTCCCGGACATCCCCAAGATGAGTAACTGGCCCTTCCCCAACCTTCAGCCCTTCCAAATGTTTTGGGACTACAACTCCCGTCATCCCTGACCACTGGTCCTGTTAGCTAGGGATCATGGGAGTTGTAGGCCAAAACATCTGGAGGGCCGCAGGTTGGGGATGCCTGGTCTACAATCTGCACTGAGGCCACATTTCTCCTGTAGAAATCTAGCATATGGTGCAAGCCTCTACAAAGGTCCCTCAACCCTTGTGCCCCAGTATTTTTTCTGGCGCTACCATGACATCTTAGGCTAGAATCACTTTGTGTGCAAAAATCCTTATAGCCACTGCTTCTCCACAAAGCAATCTCAACAGGGCATGATATGCAGTGTAGAAGCAAAAGGCAGGGAAGGAATGCTTCCCTCTACAATCCTCTTGCTTCCTACTCCAACTCTTGCTTCCAACTCTTGGCTCCCACCCTGGGATTCCAGCACAAAGCAACAAGTGACCACATATGTTGTTTATGTGCAACCTCACCCGGAAGCTAACCCACCTTTCTCCCATTTCCTTATGTTTGTAAAATGCTTATGAGTGACATGCAGAATGTGAGATGGATCTTTGAAAACTTTCCTGATTCATAGATAGCCCTGTTCTGTGCCTGAAAGGAACCTACTAGTAGTATAATATATTTAATTTAATATATTTGTCAAAGTATTTTGTTTTCTAGGAGCAGTTTAACCCCATCATACTTTAAGATGTAATACTTTGTTCTCTATGTTAACGACACTTGAAGGTAAGAAGATAGGTTAATAAAATTGACTGGAAGTTTACAAAATCATCAGCTTCCATTTTTAAGCTTCGTGCTTATCTGTATGTTAATCTGTTTGCATTAATTCTATGTATAAATATGAAAACAAGCTACAACAGGGGTAGGCTACCTGTGGCCCTCCAACTGTTGCTCTGCTGTGCCTCCCATCTTCCCTGATCATTAGCAACGCTGGCTGGGCCTTATGAGAGTTAGAGTACATCAGCCTGAAGAAAGACCCAGATTCCCCACCCTGAGCTATGGAATAAATAGTAAGAGGGGTTCAGCCTGAAATATTCCCAGTGATTCGCCCTCAAAAAGAGTATGATGATGCTAAAAAGATAGTGTTTCTCCCTGAAGGTAATAATTAATATACCCTACCACAAGCAAGACAGGAAGAAAGGAGTGCCTGATGTGCTCTGGTCCATGGGGTCACGAAGAGTCGGACACGACTAAATGACTAAACAACAACAACACCACAAACATAATCTGCGTGAGCAAGATCATGCAGTGTACTTTCTCATCCACACTTTAAATAAAATAGCTCATGATTCTGAAGTTATCGTGGTAGCCATTTCAGATGATTTGGCTTCTAATCAAAGGAATGTTTATTTTCTCAGCAGTCATGTATGCTGTTTTTGGAGGGGATGCTTTTCATTGTTTGACAGGTAAACTGCAAGGGAATATTTTAGGGACACCCTTCATAACAAGCTTAACAGGTGACCAGCAATGCACTTACAAGGCGGGTGGAGTGTTTGCCAGAG